AATATAACTTCTCTCCCGTAACACCTCAAAGATTTCGCTTGTACAATTTGCTTTCGTGTAAAAGTACGTGGTGTCGAATAGCTCTCATCAAGCCTTAATCACCGTGAAAAACGCATTCCATCATGTCAGACATCATAAAATTATTTTCGATTGAGTGCAAAAGACTTAACTTTACCGCCCTCAATTTGTCAATGAGCAAAAGTCACATATTCCCGAATAAGATCTGTTGTCGAGCAGTTTTTACCGTACTTCTTTGCTTGTGGTTCTTGAAAGACCCGGTCTTCGGTCCCTCAAAGCTGGCTGACATCAAGCTGCTGCAGCTCTCGTTATGAGACGGTTCGAGGTCGATCGCGGCCACGAACCGACGACCATCTGGTCCGTCGCTCGCTCGCTCGCCTATGAAACGTTTGAGTGATGGACGTCTTCGTCGTCGCTGACAAAATTCCTCAAATCAGTCGAAAACGATCGATTCGAGAAATAAATATTATTGACAGGGACGCAGAATGGGCAAATGTGACAGTTTCCTGCGCTCTGCTTCTCTGCACTCTTGTCATTGGTGACGTCACCGCGCACGTCTCTTCTCTGCCTTTTTGACACGGCTACATAACCCAACGAAGTCTTGGCCGTCAAAGCTACAAGGATCAGGCCGAATAGCCTGGTCCCTGGAAGTCATTTGACCGTCATCGTTTCGATGTTTCATCGCATTTGGACAGATGACAACGCGATTGAAACCACCTAACCACCACATAAAAACCGCATAAAAATCAAGGACACCGTATTCGATTACACGAAATTACGGACATTATATGGAGTTCGACGACAGCGGCGGTGTTTCGCCATTGAAGTGGCGACAGTTAAGTTGGACTCCTTTCTTGCCAGCGCCAAACTCGACCTTCTCGCTCATCTGTTGCTTTGTTGCTGACCGCGGCTGGCCATGGCCGCCGGGGACAGGTGCACACCGGAAGTGCTAATGCATTATATGACATAATAAATTATAGAACTACATTGGAGTGCCTATTTTCATGGCACGCGTTCTGCGGCACAACCACGCCACAGCTGCGCTTTTCACTTGTTTGACCCGGTAAATCGGGCGGAAAACCGTGCCGCAGCGTGAGCAACTCTGCTTCTTTGCACTCTAACCTTTACGGAACAGCCCTTAGAATCTTAATTTTGATAGATATTATTTCCCTACAACATAATAGTTGAGACAAAGCACCCAATTACTAGCTTGACGATGCTTTGCTCGGACTTAAAGTAACCGAATGAACGAAAATTTTTCTGCCCGCGATGGTCGTTTGATGGACAAATAACCACAATAAAAATAAGACAAAAATTAACTATAGAATTTTAAATAAAATAAAAAATGGAATAAATTAAAACTAGTAAAAAATAAGGTAAATTTCAGCTATTTCGTTTTTTTTTGCTAATTTCTGTACTTTTTTCTCGTTTTCTGGCCACGGGTGCCTGGAGTCACCTGCTTTGGCAGCGCAATAGGTGAAGTGACCAAGAGCTGTGGGGTGGGGGGTGCCGACCGATGGCTTGCTGGTTGGCGCACCACCGTCCGGTTCCAACGGGACCCAGTGTGTTATAAAAATGGTTTAAAGTGACATTGTGGTTATCATAAGAATCTAAAGCGGGGGAGAGGGTTTGATTTTTGCCCGACACCCAACCCGTCTGCTTGGGTTTTCGCCACTTATGGCTCAGTGCGTGGAAAATTTCTTACGCTTGTGGGTAATTTATATAGAAATCATGTCCATTATTACAACCCATTTATAACACATCCATGGTCCCTTTGGTCCGAATTATCCGAAGTTCACCAACGAATGTGCCTGAAGTCCACCTAGGACCTGGCAGTGTACCTAGGAGGGGCTAAGATAGCCTAACGGTAAGAGACCAAACCCCTATGGTTTCCAAATTCCTACCGCATAGCTGATCTCCTGCGGTTTTAATAAATATATTGATCTGACTGGTTCTAGCTCTTGTTCCAAAGAAAATCTTTGATTTTATTGATTCATTGAATTTGGGGGGGAGGGTCAGAAGCTGTCCCTTTATGCGACCTGCCACTGACTGTACGATTACTACAGATACGCTCCCTTACCTTAAATCCACTTTGGCCCGACATCAGGCGATATTCGGCTAACTTGTTACCTGTCTGATCAGCCATATGATTGGGAGAATCGACCTCTGAAATTGTTTGCCTTCAATAGAACTATCCCTAACAGCATAGATCTAATCCCCAGGTGGGATACGGTAGATATTAATTTCTCTCTTATTCCTTACGGAAATCGATCCTCTGTTCATATCGTTTCGCCGTTCAGAAGAGATGAAGTGGATGGTGGCATTGTCGCGAGCGCCCGGCAGGCCGGCTCCGCATGGCGTTGACCTCTTCTCGGTGCTGATGGTTGTGGCTCTCTAAAAGGCGCGCTTGACCCCTCCCACCTCGGCCAATCCCTCCTCCCCCTGTGAGGCCTCTTGCCTGCACCTCGTCGCTTCCCTTCTTCGAATCACGCTCGCTGCTGGCCGGCTAGCTCCTGCCGCTACCACACCGGTCAGATGCTTGCACCATCTTCATACGCCGGCTCCACGGACACCAACTATCCACCACTATCACAGGTAATACCATTGTCACTCTCGCGATTACGGTAGCGATACCGTACCACTGATAAGCATTACACGTACGGTAACAACCGCCTCGGCGATTTCTTTGAGCTGCGCTATGTTGAACGTTTCGCATTGATCGGTTTTTAATTTCACATTTTACCGCTTTGGATAGGGTATGAAGTATTGATTTTATTGATTAGATTGCTAGCTTTTCTGGATTGTCGCTTCCCTTTAATATATTAAACAGCCCAAAACCCCATCCGGCCACCGTTCATTTCGAACTGAGAAAACCATCCTTCAGATCCCTTCATTTCTTTCCTTTTCATTACATTTCCGTCTACCATGCGATTGATATTAGTTGATTGAACAGGTGTAAATGCAAGAAAACGGTACACAAATTGAAGCCATTTTTCTTGCCCATAGCTAATCATTTTTAGTTTATATTCATAGTTTATTTTTAGTTTATATTCACCTTTCGGTTTTTTTTTCTCGTTGAAATGTTCCAAATTCCTTTGACCGTCTTTTTCGATAGAATTTTCATTTTTGTTCCCCCCCCCTCGCTACCTATCTCCCTTCTGCTGAAACTTATTCTTATGCACTGCAGCAACATGCAGTTTGTTCATGGTGCTCCTTGGAGCAACTGTGTATAACTCCGATGGTTTTCTTCTAAGCAACTTGAAACCGGAAATTTCTTAGTAACGGTTTTGGCCAATTTCTTCGCTCTGGGCTTTTTCTATTGATTAAGATCGAATTAGAATGCCAGTTTTCCAAAAAATCTCCCTTTCCAGGCCTTTTGCCTTTTTTCTACAGTACTACTGAAGTACTGTACTTGGAATGTGTCCAAGTGTGCGCCACGCTTTTCTCGAATCTCTTCTTCTCTTCAGTTAGACAACCCAAATAGAGCCTCCTACTGAGCTTTTCCAAGTCGCGTGTGTCCTGAACTAATGTGACATATTACGGTATTGATCGACGGGCCTTTTCTTTCTAAGACCGCATTTTCAAATCCGCAAATCAGCTGATTACTTCCCGACGCTCCATTACTTTTCTACCGTATCCCGTGGTCTTTGTGTGTACGTCGCGTGTGTCTGTGCTTGACACCATGGTGTTATTAATCGATCGATATAGCCATCGTACCGAACCCAGGGTCCATCAATGGCCATTGAATGACTGCCATGTGTCCATAATAGCTGGATCGATTTTATGAAGAGCGTGGATAGGTTTTCAAATTCACCCCTTCACCCCCAGCCAGCCACGCCGGACCCAGACATTTGCATATTTTCGTCGATACGTCGTTGTTTTTTTTTCCTTCGCCATGAAATCGCTATGGTCCCGCCGCCGCGCGCCGAGTGCTCACCCCGTTGGCTGGGCCAATTTATGAGCCGGGTTAAATGGATTATACCCTGTTTGCTTTGTGCGATCAGAAGCAGAGTCTAAATTTCCTAGCCAAAAAAAAACTTACCGTACCGAATACGGTATGGCGCAATCGTGACAGGACCCGCAATTCAAATTCATGCATGCATTCCGTCTGAGTAATTTTAGCCTAGTCAATGTGCTTCACTGGCAACATATTCCCTTAAAACGCTTATAATTCTTTAAGTACAGTACGTCATGCCGCGTCAGGACCCATTGTATTTCTCCTAGTGTGCATGCCTTTCAATGAACTCTCAGCTCGACTTCTTAAAAGTTCTTGAATTGCGAAGCAGTGCAGTAGTTCGAAAAAAAATTGACTTTTAATATGGAAAAAGAGGCGATTGGCTCACGCGGGGTGTCAGGAATTCGTGTCGGAGACCCACCAAAGGACATAGGATTGCATATGTGCTGTTTTGAAGGCAGTGGAAATGGGCGAAGTAGCACTTCTTTGTCATTACCGAATAAAAGGTTGGAATTTTTGAGCGCCTGAGTACCGTATCAGGGCTAGTAGTGGTAGGACCCACTCCTCAAACGGTAGTGAGTTCCGTCAGGTTCCTTCATACACCCTATGAGAGAGCTCCGATTTCATTGGGGTTCTCTTTTTTAGAGCTTTGAAATCCTTAATTTGACAGAAGAATGACGTCATCAATCAATCAATACTTTTGATGCACTCATAAATCACATTGCTATAGTGTTATGATAAATTAACATTGGGTTCCTGCTAAGATGACTTACACCTGCCGAGAACATTTTTCCTTGATAAGATCCTTCAGAAGGTATTGACCTGCATTCTCGGTGGAACTGCGGTAGATTACGGTATGAATTCAGAGAAGAGAATAACGCTCAACGGGGTTCCAACCCCGTAGCGCCTCGGGCATTCAGCGGTTTGCCGCTGGTGGCTGTTTCTTTAGAGATCAATCAATACCGCCCGTGCCATTGGCATACGGTATTGGTCATTAGTCAGTTGAGTGAGCAGCAAAGAGGCTATTCACGCTCCAACTCCTCTTCGTACTCCGAGTTGTCGGCCGGGTCTTTGTGCCGGCGAAAAACAGCACCCGCGTGGGCGTCACTTAATTAGGTTCCGTCACCTAATACATAGGACATAATTATCACCTAACTGTTAATTTACTCTTTACCAAGTGATAACACGCCTTTTCGCCTCTCTTTATCTTCAAATATCCGCTTTGTCCTGAAGTTTGCGCACGGGAAATCCCGAAAATCTTGCTCTACCGTCAGTGGCTTGGAATGGAGCTACCTTGTGGGCAGTTTGAGCGCCTGAGATGTATTTGGTCATTTTCAGTTACGCGAACCGAAACCGAGTGCGATGGCGGCTCCGTACGACTATTCGGCGTACTCCGCAATGGATCCGCACGTCCTGCAAATGGCCGACATTAGCGCTGGCTATTGGGGTGCCGGTGAGTTCTTGTCGGGGTTTTTCATGATGAATACGGTATTGGTTCCTATGCGTTAAAAAAACAAAACCGATACCAAGTTGACCTAAACTTCCTCTTTCTGGGTTGTTATACGTGGTCTCATATGAATAGTCTAAATACAAAACTATGAGGAGGTCCAGGTCCATGACCGCATAGTTTAACGTTTTCCACGATCACGTGCTGGTCTGGGGGTCTTATTAGGCACCCAGGTCATTCCTGCTTCTTATACGAAAAAAGCCCTCCTCCCAAATATCGACTTGTAAGCTTTCAGCAGCAATTATGCCCTGATTTTACCATGCTTAGGAGTGCCGTTTCTGGACGAGCTGAACTCTTCTGATGCCTTCGTTTCAGGAACACCCTCGTATGCTCCTCTTGGTGGCCTACCGCCGTATCCGCCGTTGTGTTCTGGTACCGATGTGGACTACATAACCCCTCCGGCTGCGTATCCATCGCCCGTAGTGCCACCGGTCACGTCGGCCACTCCAGTCAACGCCACCGGGTCATCGGATGTGCTCGAAATCGGAAAGGTGAATTCACAGACCTTTGGGCTTCAAGAATTTAATTCGTTTGAATTATTTTGTACAATTCTTTGTTCTTTATTTTCACTGAATCCAAAGATAAGTGATTTTAATAAAACATGGGCTAATCCAATATGGGCGGGGGGGCATTGATCAAAGTGCAATGCATTTAGAGCCTCGCTACATCTCCTATTTTTAAAACGAGATTTGGCGCGCTTGGGCAGTGGGGAGCGAGAATTTCCAGGGTGATGAGGCGGTTTTCATTTTCCCCTGAAGTTGTTGCCGCGTATTTGTTGACTGGAATCTAGAGGATGCCCCGTATCTTGTGATAGCCTCCGATCTATTAGTGAGGCAGAAATGATGTTCGACGTGAGGCAGAAAAGACGTTCGACGCCTACTTATACAAATCTGGGATGCGCCATGCATTCGGAGATTGGCTTCATCCGAGATAGATTTGTATGCTTGAGGAGCATTTGAGACGGAATAGTGTCCGATTTTTAGATCACCATTCTATCATGAAACATCAGTTCGCCTTTCTGGCATCAATATCGATTTTTTTGTTTTTAATCAAACTGATAATAAGCGATAGGACAGCATTGATAACGTTCATTGCAAAAAGTCCCTAAGATCTTTGAATTCATTTTTTTGTATTTTTATTCAAGTAAAATTTTTTCTATCAACTCCCGCTCAGTAAATGGGATTCGAAATGGCATAATGTCCCACTTACACTTTCCAAAGCTTTTTATTTTTTCACTATATTTATGGTTTCATTTGTGGAATTGGAAACGTAAGCCATTCAATTTCATCGAATATTCCATTAACTTCCAAAAAATAGAGTCAATCCATTGATACAAAAGAGCTTATTGAGCTATGGAGCTACACAACTATTTTTTTCATGATTTTTTTCAATGTTATTTCTGGTATTCCCGAAAACAGACCTGTTTTTCAGTCAAACGTTCAGCCATACGCGCCACCAACGACGAATCCGACGGTGTCGAGCGATGCCCTGTCGGTCATGTACCAGCAGCCTACGGTGTGGCCTGGATACCCCGGATATATGGTAAGTCAGCCGATTTTTGACCCGTCCTCAAAACCCGTTGACGGTATCGGCGAAGTCAAAGCGAAGAACTGCTTACGTTCTGGCGATTCACTAAATCGTCTCACTTTACCCTCTGATTAGCTCGACTTAAGTACGCAATTTCGCGTTTGACACACCGCCGCGTGCAACGTCGCCGACGGGCGCGCCGTCACTCGCACGCAACCGATCGCTATCTTGATCGTTCAATTGTCTAACCCACGATGACAAGGTTGCGTCCGTTAGCGCTCAACCGGACCGGCTTCAGGGAAACCCGCCACGCGCCATCTGTTCGCTGTCATTTCCAGCACGGTAACCCGTGGCACGATCGAAGGCTAAGTGGTCGTGAATTCGAGAATTAACCGGGCGGCTTGCTGAAAATAGCTAAGGGGCGGTAGTTCAGTGATGTTCAGCCTGGTATCGGTGTTTGTTGGCGGTCCGGTGTGGGTGTTATTGGTGACTGGGTGTGGAGGTTACACTTCACTTCAATCCTAGCATCCATTATCCTTCCCGCCCCCCCCGAATTGGTTTTTATTTTGGGATGCTACTCTATGAGAAATTTCGGCAAGATCATTCCTAGCCGAGAGAGCCGCAGCCAGCAATTTTTTTGCCTACCCCTGTTTTTGAGGACCCTTTTCAAAGGTCTAGGTTGATTTTGCTGGCTCTCTACTTGCCCTCTTTACCTATCCCTAGATCTTTGTCATCCAAGAGTCCCCGTGGGGGTTGGGGGGGAGGGGGTATTTGGGAACGTGCAGGTTCAAGAAAATCTAATATGACATTGAAGCTAATATAGCCGTGCCTCGATCCTCTCAAAATGAACGGCTCATGAGCTTGTTCTTGGAGGATTGCCGACTTTGAAAGGTTACAAGTAGAGCTACTTCGAGTCAGCACGGTTTACGGTAGAGGTTACCGTATAGCTGGTAAAATGGCTTTGGCTGGTTACCAAGAGAGCCTTTCGCTGTCTTACTTAACAAAACCCTATTTTCAGCCACCGGACGACAAGACGTCTGCACCAGGCGCTTCGAGTGCCTACCCGGCTCTTCCGCTACCGTATCCGTTCCCGGACAGTTCAGATCTAAGCCATCCGTCGTTCTATCATAATCCCACGCAGGTGAGCTGTGTTTTGGTACTTCTCCGTGATCCCTTGGTGGGAGATTTGCTTAGATAGGAGTGTGCTGCGGAGCAAGTTTGTGTGTATATGTTTGATTATGCGAGTAGGAGTTGAGCAACAGTGAAGGGATTGAGTGGTTGGGTCAGATCGTCGTCGGCGGGGTCAGAGCACATCAAAGCCGGGCGCCGTCGTCTCGAGCGATGATCACCGTATAAACAGGGTCTTGTAAATCATAATCCCGTGCGCCCGTGTCGCTGTGAGTCTTTGAGTCGCCAAAGAAAGAACGACCTTGACGTGACACGCCCCGTCGACGCAAAGACAATGACGCATGCCGCATGAACACCGTGGACATCACAAAAAGCCCCATTCAAATTCGACTAAATATTGGTTTACCCCAGCAATCAGGGTGTTTGACGGGGTCTAGTGGACCACTAGGTCTTTCTTTTCGTCTATGGAGCCACGCGGTCTCAGATCTGAAGTTCAAGCAGTCGATTTTGCTCAAATCGGTAGCCCGTTAAGACAGTACAGATCTCTGCAACCACAAGAGAACCTCGGTGTGGGCCATGCATTCCGCATCCCTCTGGAATTGGGGAAGCAATTAGGTACATGGGGCTGAAGTTTCCATGGTTGAGCTATTTCAACCAGTACTTTTCGAATCAATTTTCCTGTACAGATGTGGGACAAGAACCCGTCGACGCATAAAACCGAGGGCCTAAAAGCTGAGGTCTGGGGCAGGCCGTCCAAAAGTTCCACCTCTGGACGATCATTTATCTCCAAAGACCTAGCAGTTTCGTATACCTAATCCATCTTCTTTTTAACTCTCACGATGACAACTAACTTACCCAAGACGGTCATCGTGCACAGCGTTATAATGGTTAGCGTTGAAGGGCTGACCCGTAGGCAATAAGTGAGATCTGATTGTTTTCCTGGGGACCAGTAAGTCACTCCAGGAATCAAAAACAGGGCCGGCCCAACAGGTTTGAGGAACGG